TCATCATTAGGTCATTACTAGGTCATGGTTCGGTCATTAGTAGGTGTTAATTTTGGGGGCATGTTTGAGCTGTTTGCACCATGTTCGCAGCTCTGTGCCGGGGTAGGACCACAATGCCAAACGGGCGCAGTGAACTGAGCTCTGCAAGCTGAGCTGAGAAGGTTGCGCTGTCATGGGTTTCATAGAAAATGGAGACCTTACCAAGGCTCCAAGAGCTGAATGGAGCAGAGATGAACGGTGTGGTGCCTACAACATCACACTAGACCAAACAGACTCGACTCTCATGAGCTCTCCGCAACTGATGGATGTTTTGCAGCTATGTCATTTTAGCACTCTTCTTTTGCCAGTGATGCTACATTGCGTGTCATTGGTTTTTGTTGCGATTGTGTTATTGGGCCTGCTGTTCTCCAGCCTCTGGCAAGTTCTTCCCGCCACCAGCCAAAGAGCGGATCAAAACAAAATTGAGCAGAGAGAATCCCGCAGACCAACTAAAATTAGCAGTATCAGTAGTTGTACTGCTCGAGAGCCTGTAATTTTTCACTAAAAGGCTCAACTTTGAATTTGACAAATTATTTTTCACTAAGAAAAATGTAAAATCAGCGAAAAAAACGAAGAAGCAAAGAAAGGGAAGATGAACATGATGAACCATAGCAAAGAAGAGGAAAACAGAGAAAATAAGAGGAAAGAAGAGGAAAGAAGAGGAAAGAAGAGGAAAGAAGAGGAAAGAAGAGGAAAGAAGAGGAAAGAAGAGGAAAGAAGAGGAAAGAAGAGGAAAGAAGAGGAAAGAAGAGGAAAGAAGAGGAAAGAAGAGGAAAGAAGAGGAAGTAAGGGGAAAGAAGAAGAAAGAAGAAGAAAGAAGATGAAAGAAGAAGAAAGAAGAAGAAGTAAGGGGAAAGAAGAGGAAAGAAGAGGAAAGAAGAAGAAAGAAGAAGAAGTAAGGGGAAAGAAGAGGAAAGAAGAGGAAAGAAGAGGAAAGAAGAGGAGAGGAAAGAAGAGGAGAGGAAAGAAGAGGAGAGGAAAGAAGAGGAGAGGAAAGCAGAGCAAAGAAGAGGAAAGAAGAGGAAAGGAAAGGAAAGAAAAGGAAAGGAGAGGAAAGAAGAGGAAAGAAGAGGAAAGAAGAGGAAAGAAGAGGAAAGAAGAGGAAAGAAGAGGAAAGAAGAGGAAAGAAGAGGAAAGAAGAGGAAAGAAGAGGAAAGAAGAGGAAAGAAGAGGAAAGAAGATGAAAGAAGAGGAAAGAAGAGGAAAGAAGAGGAAAGAAGAGGAAAGAAGAGGAGAGAAGACGAAGCGGAGTCGGGTGCAACCATAAAAGGCTGAAATGCGTCAGAAATGAAAGGTTTCTTCAGAAGAGGATAAGTAAGAAATAAAAGTTGAAAGGCCGGGTGGCCAGGAAGTCACAGATTTGCCAGTCTGTTGTTTCTGTGTGCTACACAAGATGTCCTTTTCAGGTTACACGGTGTCTGCAACATTGAGGGCTTTAGAACTCAGTCGGCAAAGCAGCAAGGCTGGCATAGAGGTGGTCTAGACAGGTCTGCACGGAAAACAAACAGACTTCAGAAAGCTAAACAACAGCTGACGGGAAGGACCAGTTCAGCTCCTTTGCGATCACTGAAGGCAAGTGGAAAGGTTTGACTTGCTTTGTTTTGACAGGCAGGACGATTGATTGTCCGGAACTTGTCCTTCAATGCCAACCAGATTCTTGGAAAAATTGGGCAGGAGGGGTATCTTGTTGACTTGCCCCCAGCTTGCACCCAAGTGAGTATTCATGGATCGCATCCAAGGAAGCACTTGCGGAAGGCCCTGAATTCAGTTTTGGAAGTAGTCGTGCAGTGATGCGAATTGACTTTAAGTGATGTGGGGTGATGAGATGTGTGCTCCAGTGTTAGTGCACAAATCAACTCGCTGCATTGCTCTCGAGGCCTTTGAAGTCATCGGTAGTGTAGCGGACATACATTTGCCGATGAAGGAGCTCAGTGGCTGACAGCACAAACTGAGGCAGAGGATTAAGCAGAATAAACTGAACTTGCAGCAGTGCAGTATTCTAAATCAAGTCACGCTGGATAGTTGTGCAGTACTGTATGCAATTTGTATTCCGCTTGGCTCAAGAAGGCTTAGAAGGCAGTCCTTGTTGCCATGGTCAAGAGCAGCAAGATGATCCTACAACTTAAAGACCACTTTATTCTGGCTGCCGATTCTCCACAGTACATCACAGTACTATATAATATGAACAACACTCAACAGCACGTCTAATTATCGCTTGCAAAGACCTCACATGCTTCAATACGAGCTTTGAACCATCGCTTAGCATTCGAGACTTCATCCCATGGAGTTTCGTTGACTTTGATAACTTAGACTTTGATAATGCCTTTTCAGACATGTCGAGGGGGTGGTGCGTCCCTCAGATCTGAACTGCAGATGGCTGTTAAATTTCTGATAGTGTTCAAATGTGTTCAACAGATTTGAACTGCTCCGCCTTGCTTCCTCAACCAGCCTAATTTGAGAGATTGATGTTTTTCCTCTGGCGTAGTATATAGATCGCCTGGAGAGTTCTCAATGACGCAGGGTAGGAGGTCAGTCAAATCTTGGAGAAATGAAGATATTTGAAGATGCAACTAAGTGTTACTGAGTGATACTAAGCATTAAACTTGCCCCTTGTGAGCCCAAGGTGATTTCTTGTGGGAGAAGTACACAGCTGTTTCAGGAGGTGAAGCGTTCGCAGAAGCTGAGGATCTTCTTGGCTTGGAGCGTTTTGCCCCTCGAAAGTATACGAGTACTGTGCGTTTGCAACGGCAGAAAAATTACGTCAAGTTACCTCAAACATCATCATACATTATTCTGAGAAAGAGAAGGATTTACATGTTTCATCATTTTTCTATTTTGGCCAGGTCTTTCTTCTTTCATGGACAATTGAGTTGAGGCTGAAGCAGTTGAGAAAGGGCAGCAGGCCCTGGAAGCCTTCAGAGGCAGTGGCAACAAGGATGCTGCGGCTGATGCAGTTCGTTTGGTTGACTCCTCAGTTTCCTGGAATTTCCTGGAAGTGCTGCGAAGCCGCGAAGCTTGTCAGATTTTACTGAGACATTTGTGTGAGCCAGATGAGCCAGAGTAGCCAGAGGTCGTGAAGGGCCTCGTGGGTCGAGAACAGCATTCTCGAGCACAAGATTTGGCAAAAGAGGAGCTTGCCAAGTTTCGAGAGGCGCGGTTCAGCAACAATACGTCGTTCAATACGTCTAATAACGACTATCTTACAGTCTTATACAGTCTTATACTGTCAATATGTCAGAAGCATGAAAAACAGGAGCGACAGAGAGCATGATTCTTCAGTCCATCTCAATTTTACTCTTATCATTAGCTTAAAATTCTTCTCATCACTATAACATATTATAACTGAATGATAGCTCCATTTCTGAACATCTCTGAACACTCTGTGGACGCTCGAGGTTGGTCATCGGCTCGGCGAGGCCAAGATGCTCATGTCACTCGGGGAGTCCACTCCAGCGAAGGAAGGTCGAGCCAAGGCCGCTGACGGGGCGTCACTGAGTCGACTTTGACGACTCTTTGAGACGACTCTTTGAGACGACTCTTTGACGTTACTTTCAGTGTGTTTGAAAAGTCAAGTCATTTAAAAGAGTTATCTCAGACTCTAAAAAGGCGAATCGCTTTAGACATTTTCCCCGTACTTCGAACGGTTTCCGTCTCCAGCGGCTGTAAAATTTCCGGCACAGCGCTAGACCCATCAAGAGAGTTGCAGGTTCCTCAGCTAGCTTCCCAAGGTTGTTATATGATGAATCACATACATGCATTACATTACATTACAGTACAGTACAGTACATTACATTTATATACATTTACATCTACATCTACATCTACATTTACATTTAGATAGATAGATAGACACATAGACACATAGATACATACTACATACATGCAATACCATACCATACCATACCGTACCATACCATACCATACCATACCATACACTACATACATACATTACACACATACATTACATACATACATTACATACATACATTACATAAATACGTTACATACGTTACATACGCTACATACGTTACATACGCTACATACATTACATACGTTACATACGTTATTGTTACATACGCTACATACGCTACATGCAACGTTACATAAACTACATACATTACATACACTACATACATTACATACATAACACACATAGCACACATAACATACATAACATGCATTACATAGATACACCGATAGATAGATAGATAGATAGATTAGATTAGATTAGATTAGATTAGATTAGATTAGATAGTATTAGATTAGATTAGATTAGGATTAGATTAGGATTAGATAGATAGATAGATAGATAGATAGATAGATGCACGTATGCATGCATGCATGCATAATATTTTAAATCTTGAGGTTCCAATTGGTCCAATTCGATACCAGTAGTTTCCATTCCTAGTATTCCAAGGCGACATCCTTTTTTGCATGTCAACTGGCGCATCCTACAACGCGTTGCGATATTCAAGAATCATGACAATCGAGGGTCAATCAAGGGTCAATCGAGGGTCAATTATTTGCCATGCCGCCTTCTTGAGAAATGTTGTGGCATGAACAAACATGACGAGTGAAAGTCACCCGTTTTACGTGTACGAATTTAGGAGTGGACCCGAGCCGCAGTTGCCGTTGGATTTAAAGCCTTAGACTGTCCTCCTGACTCCTGTTTACCTGAATTAACCTGAGTTTTTTTCAGACCTTGCCTCAGTTCTCACTTACTAAAAGCACCCTGTGAAGGCAGAGGCTGTGAGTGCTCTGAAGGAAGCAAGGTCTATTTGCCGGAACTCGAACAACAAAGAGTGGGAGGTACCTTGTCGTCACCAAGAATGCACCAGGTGACAATTAGAAGACTTTGTTGTTCTAATTGTGACAACGATAAGGGTCCTTCGATTGATTAGGGTTGCCAGAGCTGCTAAAGGTTTGTGCTGTAGAATCTGTAGAGCAGGGTAGGGAGGAGATGAAGAAAAGCTCGAATACATAGAAGAAACTAAATGGATATGATATGATATGATACAGATGGAATCATTTCCGAATTTTTCCAAAGAAACTGCTGATTCGCATATCCTCGTCAGGTGAAAGCTCTGCTTACCTTGGCTTGGCTGAACATGGGCAAAATGGAAGACCTTGGAGCCGTGGAGACTGCCCTGAAGAATGCAACAGAAGCGTCACTGGCCAAGATTCACACAGGTTTGAATTCGTTGGAAGCAGCGGAAGCAACATTTTTCATGTGGGCCATGTGGGCTTGCAGTCATTGAGAAGTCTCTCAGGAGAGATATTTCGCAGGAGTTTGACAACAAACGAATAGAGGCAGGGCAGGGGCCTGGCAGAAGGCACCGACTTTCACAACTTTACAGATCGCTTTATGAATTTGTTTGGAATGGGTTAATTAGTCACGGTTTGTCTTGTGTCAGATTGTGTCAGCTTGTGTCAGATTTCATCTTTTCATTGCATTCCTAGGCCGAGTGTCTTTGGGCCATGGCAGAGTCTCGTGGGTTGGTTTCATCCCCCGATGATGCATTAGATGCAGCCGACGAAGCCATGGATCTCTTTCTCGAACTTCGGGACACTTGATCGAAACATACAAGCACCGGATAGCACCTAGCTCACCTGCACAAATACAAATACTTTCTAACGCTTACACAGACAGAAACATCTACATTGGTATTACTTTAGGTTAGTTTTTGCATCTCGTACACAGGTAGAATCAGAGACATACACAAAACTGGCAAGTCTGCTACCAATCTGTGATTGATTCAGGATGTTTTTCACCAGATTCAGACCTTCTTGCTTCAAGTTGCCAGAGTAAGCTTGTGCTTTGGAAACCAGTCTAACTGCTACATAGTGCGGCTGCCGCGGTTCCCCGGTGTCATGCGGGAACTTTGGAGACAGGGGGCCATTGCTACAGGGTGATGGTGCCATGGGTGCTGGTGCTGTCAGAGGTGTCTTGGGTTTGCTGCACAGCTGCTTTTGGTCAAAAGATGTCAAAGAGTGTTTGTTGTCTGCATGCTGTTGCTGCTATGACTTTGATGCAGGAGAACAAAAAGCGACTTGGTATGTACGTTGCTATATAGGGTCTATGCCAGGGTTATGTGCTTTTCCATTTGCACCCGGCCGTTGCACAAAGGAGCTTGGCAAACAGAAAGAACTGGCGTTGCTTTGTCCCCCAAACACTGCTGTTGGAGTTCGTCTTTTGAAAAACTGGTAAAAACTGGTCCTGGTATGTCCTGGTCAAAGATGATTTGCACCGTGCTTTGACTCCCTCTTTTCTTCTCCGGGATCTTGTCACTAGATGAATTTGTCTCCCATTTTGTCTTCACTATTGCCTCCCATTAAGCCCCCACTTTGTCTACCCATGTTGTGTCTTGTCAAAAGATGGCCTTATATCATATATCCCACTTGCAACTTGGGAATGCGGGGGGAAGGCGGCAATTTTGTACTATTGAGGAATCAGATGGACGCAGTATATTTACTGACATGACGATTACTCGCACTTTTGCCGTTTCTGGTCGATGCTGGTGTAATGACGGCCGTATTGATTTCACGGCTTCGGGAAGTTGCGTTTAGAAGCAGGAAGTGAAAAACAGCATTGCTTGCATGGATTGTAAATTCGGTATGTCGGCTCAGGATAAACGCATGGAAGCTATGGTGCTCTTGCAGCTTGGCTATGGGTTCACATTGAAGCAGTCTCTGAAACTTCTCTATTTTTGAAACATCTTCGTTGTTGGGCGATTGCGCAGAGTATGTCTTGTGTTGCGGAAGGAAGATGTCGGAATGGAACCTGAAGCTCGGAGATCATGCCAGAGCTCTTTCTGATGCTGAAGATGCTCTGGAGATCTATCAAATGTTGCAGTCCTCACTCGAAGTAAAGGCTGGAGACCATGCTGGTGCGTAAGTGCAGCAGAAGTCTGACATTTCACATTCAAGGCAAGAGTGATAAAGCATGCAATCCATATGCAATCTTTTTTGGATTCCAGCCCGCCAATTCTTGGGAGGCCCTCCGGCGTGTCTTCGATGCCCATTTGGCACGGCAGGACATGCGGAAGGCGCGGCTTGTCGCTGCAGAAGCGCTGAGGCATTTCCGGGAACAGAACAACAAGCCTGCCCAGGCAGGACACTGGACATGGGCAAGACATGACAGCTTCCTTTTCCTCAACGCCTAGACGGAACACGAGCAAACAGAAACAATGATAACACTGGCTAAGTTGTCAAAGCAGAAAGTATGGCAAGTTTCACAGAATTGTCATCAAATTCTGAGGTTGAAGCCGTTCGCATGCTCGTCGAGCTGTATGTGAAGGCAAACCGTGTTGAGGAGGCTCTGACAGCTGCCAAGCGCGGGATCACCGTGTGCAAGGAGCTGGGAGATGCAGCTGCGCAGGTTCGCTCCCGGAGTAGGGAACCAAAACAAAGTGATGAAGATTGATGAAGATTGGGGAAGATTGATGAAGATAGAGTAAATGTGTCCTTGCTCTCCTTGCCTCCTTCCCCTGGTTGCTTTCATTGCCATCGTTGCCTCCCCTCCTTGCCCTCCATCCCTGAGAAGTATAGATGCCATACCGGGTTGGACCCAGGCATGATGCCATTGGGATGCCATTGGTTTTTTGGTCCAGGCTTCCCTGATGCTCACAGTTGGACGTGCTCGCTTGCGGATGGCACAGCTGGACAAGGCCATAGGCATTGCGCAGGATGCGTTCGCGATGCTGAAGAAGATCCCTTCCACAACAAAGAGGATTTGCGAGGACAAGGTGCGGTACTGATCAACGAACCTGGATCTGCCCTCTTTTCTAGGTTGCATGAAATTGCCACGAAGTGGCCATGCGGAAAAGGTAGCGTAAAAAAGAAAAAGGAATACACAACGAGGGCACACTCAGGACAATCCAGGACTCCTGTGTGACTCCTGTGTGACTCCTGTGTTACTCCTGTGTGACTCGTGCTGAGTTTACTCAGGTGGAGGCCATGCACGTCTTGATCGAAGCGAAGTATCACAAGGGCCATAGAGATGAAGCCTTGGACCAAGCACTGGAATTCAAGGAGATTTTTGAGCAGCAAAATGATGGGAAAGCATTGGGACATGCCTTATTGATTGCTGCAACCCTGGAATTCAAAAGAGGCAACGTTGAAGAAGCATCAAGCTACAACACAAAAGCCCAGGCAATGTTTGGAGAAGAGTCAGATACATCAGGTGAGGCTGATGCCTTATTAATGAGTGCGGAGATACAGTGGAAGAAAAACGAGTTCAAGTCAGCCATCCGCTTTGCAGAGAAGAGTAGAGCTTTGTATCGCGAGTTGGGCAAGAATGAGGGAGAGATCGCTTGCGCTTTGGACGCATGAATTCAAGAGTTGTTTGACCCCGGGTCCCTCTATTTGATCGGGTTTTGCTGTTTTTTTTCTTTATGTAACTAGTGGTTCTTCAGAATATTCAAAAAACGCAGTCCACCAAAGGTTTGTTCATTTGTAATTAATTGATCAACAAAGGCATGTACATGATCTCCGAAAACGCAGTTCGTCTTTCGGTCAAGGAGGGAGCTAAAATCTACAGCGAGGAGCCGATTCCGAGGCAAGCACGCGATGCATTGGACAAGGGCATCAAACTTGCTGAAGCTGGAATCAAACTTGCGAAAAATACAGGTCTTGCAACAGCACCCGAGTTGATGGGCTCTCTGCTTTGTGCCAGAGCTCAGGGTCTCACTTTGAAGGCGCGCTTTGAGGAGGCTCTTGCCTGTGCAGATGAAGCTGTGCTCATCTACCGGGATTTGGGTTGTCACTCTGGAGAAACATATTTTTTTTAAAACATCGGGGAATGCTGCTTTTCATATTTACTTTTTGTGCCCGATTTTGATTTTCATATTTCATACTTTGGTCCGAGCCAGCTTAGAGGTTACCAGCTGGAAGCCAACGCTTTGATGCTGACCTGTGATAATTTGCGTGCGCTCGAGCGAGTGAAGGAGGCAAGCTTCTGCATTTCTGACTCAGAAAACTACAAGTAAGCCACCTATCAGTTGTGCAATGAGCCAAAATTTAGCCACTCTCCATCATGGCTTACAAAAATTCTCAAACGTCTTGAAAATTCTCAAACGTCTTAGAATCTATAGAGGTGCGAGCTATTGCATTCTCCATTTTTCAGGCTGCAGAAGCAGCAGATGAAGCTTTGGCACTATATCGGCACGTAGATGACACTGCTGGAGAGAACTTGGCGCTGGAAGTGATTGCCACTTTCCAGGACACAGCACAAAAAACATCAAAAAGCAGTGGTGTCAATCTTACAGCTGTGTAGCATTTTATAAACTTCAAGCTGTGTAGCGTTTCAGGAGTTCATGCAGCAACAGGCGCCTCAATTCATGCCGCCACCACCTGCAGCTGCACCTGGGCAGCCACAAGTTCCGGTGTGGCAACAGCAGTCAGAACAAGGAGGACCACCTGAGGTCCGGAAGTTCATCGAAGTCCATTGAAGTCCATTGAAGTCCATTGAAGTCCATTGAAGTCCAGATGGTCTCCTTGGTCTCACTAGACCATGACTTGCATGACTTGCACGGTTTGCATGCTTTACACGTGGTTTACACGTGGTTTACATGATTTCCTGAGAACAACTTTGTTGAACAGGCTGCAGTTGCAAAGCCAGTGCAAAGGGGACCTGCGGGACCAGCACTGGACGTGAAATCTGGGCTTAGCCTTGAGGTGGTGACTGGCAAGGCTCTGCAAGAGATGCCTCATTTCGTTGACATTTCATTGAGTTTTTTTGCAGTCCAAGATGTCAAAGGCATGAAAGGCAATGTGGTTTGGTTGTTCTGACCTTGCAGGTGAAAGAGATTGCCCTCAGGATCACAGGTGCTGATGATGGAGAGATTGAAGCTGACACACCATTAATGGAAGCGGGTCTCACAAGCAACTCCGTCCAGGTCTTAGTTTAGGGATGGGCGGCTCACTCTTTGGTCTATATTCGTGACACTTTCCATCGCGCCCAGGCAATCATTATGCGCGATGTACCCTGGCTGCAGGTGTTGAGATATGGATTGAGTGCAATCCTTCAATCCTTTTAGATCCTAGCATTGACCACAAGTGACTTCAAAAAATGAACGTGTTGTGAAAGTGAGGAATTTAATGGAATTTTAAGTGAATCAAGTTGTGAAAGTGTTGATTCAGAGATCCCTGTCCCTTCGGTCCCTTCGCAGGAGCTTTCCCAAGCTTTGCCTGGGGTGCAGCTTCCTGTCACCCTGGTGTTCGACTATCCATCAGTCTCTGCCATGACTGAGCTCATCTTGCAGAGCACTGGGGCCCCAGCCCTCAAGAATTGAGAGATGTAGCCGTAGCGAAGACAGAAGGGTGGCAAAGAACAAAGGTTCCAGGTTGTTGTGTTCAAGATATCAAACATGATCGAAGTGATAAGAGCCTCGCTTGAAGATCCTTGGGTTTTGAACTTGCCGCCTTTAAATAGTGGCCTTGAAGGAAGGCAGCTGGCCCTCGCAGTCTTCCCAAAAATCTTGCTTGTGCATGTGCGCATGAAATGATTGAAGCTTGCTTGTGACAGTTTGTGAGTGTGTATGCAGAAAACCAATTATACCCCATCGAAGCAAAAATATGCTGTGATGTGTTGCAGGAGGGTTCAAATCTTCATCGTGGCTTTGCTTTCATCCAATACGAGCAGGTAAGACTGAAGTGCAGAACAATTAGTCGTGGGAGTGACTCAGAGTGACATGGAGTGACTGGATGATGTTCAGAGTTAGCGCAGTGGGTGGTATCCCTGGCAGACTGCTGATGCGGAGCGTGCTGTCTCTGAGCTGAACAATAAAAGGACTGGCCGACTTTGGGATAGCAAGAGACGACTGGAGACGACTTTTGGACAGCAAGACGAATGTTCCAATTTTCGCCGTTAGGGTTTCTCGTTCAGCTTCGAGGATTTGCGGTCGCGTAGTGGCAGTAGACTGGGCTGTGGACGCTTCAGTGTGGGTATCTGAGGTCGTGCAAAGATGAAGAATTGGCATTTGCCATTCAAATTCTTCAGCATTCAGTTTGTACATTTTTGATTTTGAAAATGTTAAGCTACTGAGCTTGCAAGGTATAGCTCACTGCAGCGTCGTTTGCTCAGCTGAAACTCCAGACAGGACTTAATGCACTCCTGTGATTTTCTGTGCAGTGGCTGGAACGTTCTAGCGATTTTGAAAGGTGAGGAGCGACGCGAGTGGGTGGCTTACATGTTGCTCAGTGCCAAATGGCGCTTTGCAATCTTATTGCCAATCTGCACCCTTTTCCGTGTGGCACAATTTCAAGATCAGGGTACTATTCATTACTATTCCCTGGTTCTGCCAAGTGTGCTGGGTCCTGCAGGTGATTGGTGGCGGTACATGTGCGCATGTGGGTGCGTTTGTCCGTCCATCTGTCCATCCAGTGCGTGCGTGCATGCGTACATACATCCGTGCATGCATCCATAAATCCATCCCTCCCTCCCTCCGTCTGTCCATCCATCCATGCATCCATGCATCCATCCATGCATCCATCCATCCATGTTTAAAGGCAGACTAGCTGCTGCCACTTGATTCTTGTTCCGAAGAGGTGGTGCAAAGTCTCTGCTTGCTTTTGCCGGCGGAGTTCTTGCCAGGGTGCTTGATTGAAGTGCTTCTGAACAGCGCCACTAGACCGTTTTGGTTTCATTTCATCGCGCAACTTTGTAAATGTGCTTGGGAATCTCTTGCACAAAAAATTGCTTCGGCGGATGCACTGCGAAGTTGCTCAAATTTCCAGCATCTGACTTAAGGCCGAAGGAATCCAGGTTGCCGAAGCCAAAGCCAGTGTGGATCTCAGTGATGTCCAGTGTATAGTGTTTTGCGCTTTCCATTTTGCGACCACAGCGCGTTCTTCCATCCGCAAGTCTAGTTCTTTTGAGATGCCTCAGGCCAAGAAAGGAAAGGCGAATTTCTTTCTTTTGCATATTAGATAGAAATGATAGAAAGTTAATGAAAGTTAGGGGAACTTGAAGGAGATCCGATGGGATCTCATGCTTGGATCTCATATATATCGCTGCTAATATCGCTTGTCCAGGCGGACGTGGAAGCGACGGAAGCCAAGGAAGAGGATGTCCCCGAGGCCTTCGGGGTCGCCGTGGGGCATTGTGGGGCATTCGGGGAAAGGAAAGTGGTCCCTGGCGACAGCGGCGACAGCTCCCAGGATCTTGCTCCAGATGCTGAGCTCAAGAGGATGAAGGAGTTGCTGGGCGATGAGATTGAGGCTGGATTCCAGACTGCATCAAGTTTGAAGATGTTTGAAGCATAGTGCCTTAGTGCTGAATGTAACTCTTGGTATAGGAATTTCAGCTTATGTAGCACCTGCATATAATATCATATGATTATACATATATATGATTATACATATATATATATAATATTGCAATCTATTTGATAAGGCAATCCCTTGCCACCTGGACGCTCAGAAGAGGATGCAAATCGACTACAAAATGGTCAACTTACCCTGAAGTGTTGAGGACACAACATACCCTGAAGGCTTGCGTACTAGACATGAAAAGTATGTCATGTATACATTGCGGTGTCCGAACAGATAGCATGTATATGTATATATATATAGTATGTATATATATATATGTATATATATATGTATATATATATGTATATATATATATACATATATGTATATATACATATATATATACATACTATATATATATTATATTATATTATATTATATTATATTATATTATATTATATTATATTATATGCATACATGTTTGCGCTTGGATGTGCACATGCATTTACGGACATACACGTACTTCCGAATTCACTTTGAATCGATGAACATGATGACATGTGTACGTACAAAAGTAGTATACATTTGGTGAAATACAGTACAAATGCACATACATGCATGTGCATACAAGTATGCAGTAAATAGATTCAGACAAATACAACCACACACACACATATATATATATATATACACACCCCGACAATATTTTGTGTATCTACTATCGATTATCCGTTGCTTGCTGCATTTACGATTTAGTGTGTAATGATTTGTTTTCATCTACAATTTTATGATTTTGACTTGCCGCCACAACTAGGAGGAGGATGATGAAGAGCAGGACGACGGTACAGAGGACCAAGAGGACGAAGACAATGTTTTAACTTCAGAAGGGAAAGCCAAGTCGAAGGAAGAAACAAAGGCGAAGCCAAAGGCAAAACCGAAGGCTTTTGCAGCTATATTTGTCAGTTTTGGGACATGCATGGACATGCTGGTTCATCATTTGAAGAGGTGCATTTGAAGGGTTTTCTTGCCAATGGCATGAGGCAAGTGCGCAAAGAAGACCAGGCTTTGACATCGACCAGGGGATTGCCTGGCTGTTTTTACTCTGCATATTGGCCTCCTGTAGGTGGTTAGCGAGATGCGAGCCAGGCAGACAGTCTTCGTGCGCAACGTGCCTTTCGATGCAACTGCAGATGATTTGAAAGAGGCAGGGCATGGGCAAGATACACCATTTAGATCCATTTAGTATCGGAAATGTTGGGTTCATTGCAGTTGGGTGTCTTTGTCAGAGATCTCCCAAGCCAGGTGTTCAGAAGATTTGGCAGAGTGAGCTGTGGCCTTAAACAAGATGTGCAGCTGCAACAGCTGCAACTCACGTGATGGAGTCTCTGGGAGATGCTTAAAGTGTGATACGAAAAGGCTCGATCAAAATGGTGGCGGACAAGACAGGCCCAAACCTTTGAGCATGTGCAGAGCTGGGAAAGAAGGCAAAGATGGAGAAAAATGGTGGTGAATCTTAACAAAGAATATAAACGGAGAAAGCAAATGGTTCTTTGAATTCTTGGCTTTCTGAAGGACAAAACGCCCACCGTGGATCTGCCTTTGTGAAATTTTCAGAGGCCAAGATTCGTTGAAGATTTAAACCACGTCATTGTTTCAGTCGGAGTTGTGCCCAGACAGATCGTGACTCTTGGAATGCGATTGCCAGATGTTGCACCAGACACCACCAGTTGAAATTCACATGTGCTTTGCCCGCTGCAGCTAAGTGGTTTCCATAGCCCGCTGCGCTGGAAGCAAACATACGCCACTCTCCCTCCAAGCCATATCTCAGTCCAGCCGCCAACAACTAATATAGTTGAGTTCGCAAACAAACCCTTCTATACCTCTCTTATGTACAGGAGGTGCAAAGTTGCTCCCACAAGTTGATGGCTCCCCTTCCAGTGTCGTACACGTTTGTTGACTTATAGTCTAAACCGTTCGCTCCAGAGCAGCATGGTGGTTTGGGCTGTGCGGAGCTTAGATTGGACAGGCAGACAATTGTCAACGGCCAAATTGGCCTGAAACCTTGGCACTTGACATCGCTTGATGCATGTTTATGGATTGTTATCCATGTTGTGCTCGGGTTTAAGGAAGAAGAAGTGGTTGAGGTGGCATGCAGGCCAAGATCTGTGTCCGACTTCTGTGTGAGGTGCCTCGAACCTCTGTGGGTTGATGGGATGGACCAAGGGCCACAGTCCAGTAGCACATTCCCAGCATTTTGGCCAATTCTAGCCAAAGTTAATTATATCAAGGGAGGAATGAACCTGGGGCCTGTGGATTTGGCCAAGGTATGAATATGTCCAACGCAAAGCATCGGAGGATGCTCTGGTGCCTGGCCCATTCCATGTCATGCGTTTGAATGTGGAATACTTGTATCATATATAATACAATATTATATATATATAATACAATATATATATACACATATTATACACTGTATCTATTATATACAGTATATACATATATATATACTGTATATATATATATAAATAAATAACTAAATAGATTAAATAATTAAATAAATATTTTTTTTGCTTCGCGCGATTTCAACCCACAGCGCGATTCCTGCATGCTTTGCTAGGTCTCGCCTCATGCTTACCCTACACATTTGGAGGAGATCATACGAAGTGCAAAGTCACGGGAAATTGATTTTGTTGTCGCCCAATGTATTTCGACCTCCAGTTCCAAGCAGGATCCACATCCACAGTTTGGCAGTCCGGTTGTCAGTCCTGTGGCGTATCGAGACCAGTACCGTATGCAGGAGCCAACCTAAGCACTGCTTTGCTCAGATTTGATCAAGCATCAAAGCATCAAAGCACACAATCTAAAAGCCTCACCCAGTCTCAGGACCGCCGATTCGGCAGCCCTGTGGGAAGTCCTATTGCTTACCAGGACAGGAAACCACCTGTAGTATGGACAAAGCGCAAAGCACTCTCATGAATGTGACAGCACCTGCCAGTTGTGATTGGTCTCCAGGATATGGACATGCCACAGACGCCTCAATTCCGAGACCGACTGAACACTCAGGATGGAGACGAGTTCCCCCAGGAGGCGGGCATGTTGTCACATGTGCATGCGCTTGCACTTTGTTTCAGTCTTGCTTTCTCCAAACATTCGCAACTTTTAAACCTTGTTTTGCCTGGTTTTGCCTGAAGGCAACCGAGTGGTCAACAACAACAACTCCTTATCCCTGCAACTTGGCTGGAGATTGCCATGCAAGTGCCAGCTCCATATGTACAATGCTCAATTCTACCGACTGACGAAGGAAAGGATTGTCTTGCGTGCATTCCTTGTCCAGGCTATCCTTACATGTGGTTTCCAGCAACATGGATGCATTTAGACAATATTTAGACCCAGTCCCAGTCAGATGTTGGATTTCTGCTTTTGCTTTCGTCCTTCTGTGAAGCTTTCCGGTGTGCATAAATGGTTTTCGAGTCACCTGAGTCAAAAGACAAAGCTCTTTATCGGATTATATCGGATTCTTTGGTGCTTTTGGTGCTCTTTCTTCTTATTCGCTCTTCCCAGACCATTCTGCTTGACCGAACTGCCTGCCCTCCTCACCCTTTCCCTGTAGGTTTCTGGAGCTGACCAGCAGCACCAGGCAGAGCAGGAGCACTATGACCAGACGGGTCAGCAACCAGTACAAACACAGCAGCAAGTGGCTGCTTGATCACATTGGGCTTGTCATGTGATGCTCATTGTAGTTTCTGCCTATCTGAGACTTGCTTTGCACATGCTGGCAAGAAGCAGGCCAAACCATGACTGAGATATGGAAACACAAAATCATGCGAAGACATTTTTCTATAGGCAATTCCGTGAAGTGATGCAAAGTCTTGGAGCAGTGCAATGAATGGGGAGGTCGAGCAGCTGAATGGCTGAATGGATGTTTGCTTGCGTGAAGTCTTCCTGATAGCCTGAGGCTGCTCCAATGCTCTACTACTGTGTTGGATTTGTCAATGCCGAATCGATGACAACGACAACACAACCACAAGCTGATTACGCAGGTTCCCAGTTTGAAGCTTCAGCGGGATGCTAGCATTGCTGTTGTGTTCAGCAGTACATTTGAAGCCAACAGCCACCAGATTAAGGGCACTTTGCCCGACATGTCCTGTCGAATGCAGAAACATGGCAGAACCGGATAGTTTCCAAGTGATTGAGGTGGCTGGCAACAGGAGAGCCCTGAGAGCTCTTATTGGACGGGAGCAGTCATGCTCTAAGTTTCACAGATCTCATTGAAATGTTTGCAAAGTTTGCACAGTCTTTGGTGCATCGGTGCATCTTGAATCAAATTGCCTGCAGCGCGCTGAGGAACCGTCTCAGCCATCTAAAGCAAGATCCAAGAGGAATGAGACTCCACCAAAAGTCCTCCAGGCCGAGGATGGAAATGTGTGTCGCAAGCTCTTGGATGTGTTGGGCGAGCTTTGATCAATTTGACACTATGATTTGAAGGCTGGACAAGTGCACCGTGATGCTTCCAAAGGCTGGGACCAGAGTGCCTGTAGAAACTATCACTGACTGCATGCGTCTTAGCATAAGAGTTGGTACCGACGTGACGTGGTAATCTTGCACGAGCTTCCTTGGAGCCATAGTCATAGCAATGAGCAGCTTTGCATGAGAGCTGGAAGAGCTGGAAGATGATTACACTTTATGCAAACTTATAAACCAAAAGTTTGGAAAAGTTTGGACGAAAGCTTCATCATCCCGAGCTGAAAGCTTCACTTTATCAAAGCTTCACCGAATTCCTTTGAGTCCTTCACTTCAGACATCTTCAGACCTCCTCGACCTTCAATGAGGATCAGAGCCTTTGGTCAAGGATGAAGAACGCACTACGATCATGCTCCGGCAGGGCACCAAGAAGATCCAAGAGTAGTAACGACACAGTGATTATCAGTGTAACACAGTGATGTAACACAGTGATGTACTGTAACACAGTGATGTATCTCACTGCTGTATTTACCCTCTAATCTTAATCTTAGACTCTTTGCAACCTGGCAACTTTGGATCGTGTGCATGAATGTGAGTCTTGACTTGCCTCTAGGAACATTCCCAAGGACTGCATCGCTTGCACTTTGGATTGGGGCCAGGTATAGTGAGGGTTTCGCTGTGGACGGATTGTTTTCAGGACATTACACGGGAGAAGATGATGGATCTGCTGAACACTCTAGGCGAGCGAGCTGCCCAACTTTGAAGCATGCGAATGTTTTGTTTAGTTTCGGACAATGGAATGGACTGCACCGCATCCTAGCAACTGAACTTAAATGTTTGGTAGGATATGCCAAGATGTACGACTTCCTCTACTTGCCTCGTGACTTCAAGGCAACACATTTGCACTGTTTTGGCATTTGTAGACATATCTAGACATTGAGGATTTGGCATTTTGCCAGGACAATTTTGCAATCTACGGTTACGCCTTCGTAAACTTTGCGAATCACGAAGAAGCAAGTAAGGCGGGACTCGGGACAACTCGAGAACTCGGGAGCACTCGGGACAACTCGGGCAACTCGGGACAACTCTGGCATGAGCGGCATAGCCGCGTTCTAAGTGCCGGAGCAGCCCTGCCAGGCTTTAGAATTGTTTAACGGCTTTGTGGACTGGCAGAGCACCGCACCTTGGATTTGAAATGAAATGATTGGAAGACTCTCGTTGACTTGGACTTCATAGGAACATCTTATATAGGAGCACCTCATGGGAACATGGAAGAACTTCGGAAGAACCATGAAGACTTCCTGCTGTTCGAAGCTCGAAGGAGACAAATATCGTTCCATGTGAGGCAGGAAGCAGCCAAGAATGCAGCGAACACATTGTGAACACTGTATCACTCTACACTTGGAGATTTCACTGACGCATTTGCAATTGCGAGTGCTGCAGAACTTCCAAATATTTTGCCACTGGTTCTGTTCGAAGGCGCATTGGGGGCATCCATTGCAAGGATATGACGCCCACGTGGAGCGCTATAGGACTGCAGCTGGCTTTGTTTCCCCTTGTGCAAAATGTGAAGTAATCCCAAAGGACTTTGCGCCTCTTCAACTCGCCACTTTGCAATGTTCCAACCTGCTCATTCCTGCTTGATTAACTTGCAAGTCCCTGCA